CAATCCATCTCGCTAGGGGTCTTCCTCTTTTTCTCTGACCCTCCACTGTACCAAACATGATATCCTTCTCCAGCAACTGGTCCCTCCTGACAATATGGCCGAAGTATGAGAGACAAAGTTTGGCCATCCTGGCCTCCAAGGAGCACTCTGGCTGGATATACAAATCCTAAATTTAACAACGAATGTAGAGGAAGGAAGGCACAAACCTCCAATGAAAGTTGCTCACACAAGAGCTTAGTGGAAGTATAATATGCTACCACAAGGCTAATTTGCGCTCTCTCTGGGTTGATTTTTGGGTTTTAACTTTTAAAGTAAAGATCACAACTACTCCATTACCTAGATATTCTCCCAAAACGTCTTCTACATTCAAACTGATGAATTTTAAATTCATGTTTCACCATGCTAAGCTAAAAAGTAAGCAAAATCATAGCCATCAAGTCAATTAGGACTCAGCAAGCATATGGCACAAAGCAGAACTGACCCATATGGCTTCCAGGGCTGTAAATCTTTATGAAAGAAGACACCCACATCTTTCTCTTGTCAGCTGGTGGGTTCAAACTACCAACCTTTTGGTTGGCAGTCAACTGTTTTAACCACTGAGCCACCAGTGACAGAGGTGGTTGATGTGCCTTTATGTCCATTCCAACTCATTAGCAACCCTGTGTAGGGTTTCCAAGACTATAAAATATTCATGGGAACAGAAAGCCTCATATTGCTCTCTTCCTTAGAGAAGTTGGTAGATTTGAGCTGTCGACCTTGCAGTAAGCTGCTCTATCAGTAACCCACTGAGCCATGGGGGGTTTACTCAGCCACCAAAGGAATTGGGCATTAATTCCAAATACATGCTTAAAAACCATGTACTAATATTAAATAAGTGCATTCTTAACTATCTAGAATACAGAATACAAAAGCAACTTGTTTTAACAGTGAAATTCACCATTCTAACCAAACAACTTATTAAATCTTATTAAAATGACTGCTACATAAAAAAAGTTGAAAACTGTAAAAACACTTACTTCATTCCCATGTTTTTGCAGGAATTCAATTTCCTGTTGTGTGAATGTTGTCATGGAGATGGATTTCACCCTGTGTGGTGGATTTAACCCTCGCCTTAAAAAAAAAAAAAAAAAAGTTTAAAAATTTACTATAATATATCATAACTCTTAAAATTATACAGCTAATAATTCAAAGCATTTTTAATTTGCATGTTTGTATTTGAAAAGTGATTTTCATTCCACAGACTAAAAGAAAAATGACTTAAAATATTAATCCTCACAATAAATAAGGTAAGTCTTTATTAGCACACAAATTCTCACTAAAAATACACTTGAAAATAAGTTCAATCAACTACCTAGATAGAAACCCAGGGTAGCAAGTTATAACAGTTAAGACTTTCCTAGGAGCAACTGATGGATTTGAACCCTAAACCTTGAGGTAACTAAGTAATTACTTAAGAGCATTTTCCTGTCTTCTAGGAAAGAGACCATATGGCTTAAGTTTTGAGCTATATGACCATTCTTAACAAAGCAATAGCACCTTTAAAGTATGTTTGAGGCTAATACAGAAAGCTGAAAATTAACCCAAAGAAATTTGAAGTAAGTTACCAATAAAGTCCTATCTCTCCATTAATTCAAGTAAGGGAGTTATAATAAGTATTTTCACTCTCTCAGGAGGCAAAAGAAATGGTTAAGGAAATTAAGAAACTCCTTCAGAAACATTATTAAATTCCAAGGTCCCGCTAACGCCTTTTTGATATGCATGGGCTTCAAAGGATTTGCTCTCCAAGTTTCTTGGTGAAGCTTTTATCAAGCGCATGATGAGGGCACAATCTTTGGGAAGAAAGTGAAATTATAATCAAACAAGTTTACACTCACTTGTATTTCATATTTTAAGGAAGAAAAAGATTCGTTTATATTCTGTTGTTTTGTTTTGCTGTTAAACAATTTCAATAATTTTTCCTTCTATTGTTTTGTGTTGCTTCACTTAAATTTTAATTTGCTCATTAATTTTCACCTTCTAGTTCTTGGTAAATGGAAAATGTGCAAATAAAAATTCAGCAAGAGAGTTGAAAGAAAACAAATCAATTCTATCCTAGTAAAACTTTCAAACTAAAAGTCTTAAAGAATACTTTTAAAATTCCAAAAGTGAAATTTTAAGAGAAAGTTGCTATCATTTAAAGCACAACACACTGTTCTCCAAATCAATTGTCCAAAGTAAACGACATCGAATTATGAGAATGAAACTAAAAAAGTCCCCCTTTTCTGGAAAGTATATTAGATTGTGATTTGTACTTAAAGCCTATGTTGTCCAAAGCAACAGAAGAAGAAATAAATTTAGGACTGTTCTCTCAAATGCCTCTTCTCTCTCCTGAATCTCTTTGCACTTTTGCCCAGTCCCTCCCTCTTCTCCTAGTTCTGGCCAAGTCTTTCCCTTTCCTCCACCTCCTAGTATCTATTTTACTTTCATGTAAAACGTAAAGGAACAGCTGTTTAATGATGAAATGTCAAACACTGGTACAAGGATATATTGTAGAAATAAAATTTTGGAGTAAAGAATTCTATCCCTTTATATGAGGGGGCTTCAGAAAATTCAGGGAAAAACAGAATTAGAAAATAAATTTTTCATGAACATTTTTAAGTCCCCTCGTACTTCTCAAATTATTCCATGAAAAAGAGATACCAATTCATAAAGACAACTGTGACTTTTTGGGTTACATTATACAGATGCAGCCTCATGAAGTTACAAAGTATAACTTATTCACTGCTGCACCTCCAGGCCCTACCATATCACAGCATCTCTTCTGCACAAGGAAGGCATTCATATTAAACAAGCGGACAAAATTTGGATTTATGAAACAAAAACACTATAATGGAAACATAACCAGACTAGGAGAGGATATTTCCCCCATTTTCCAAAAGTCCTTATCATAGTATTTCTTCATATGGATTCTCAGAACGCTTAAAATAGGGTTTGGGTTATAAAACTTGGAAACACAATTTTTTAAGATAACATTTATTATATAAATTGTATTATTGTTTTTGTTAAGTGCTGTTGGGTTGGCATGACTCACAGTGACCCTGTAAATGGTTTCCGAGGAGCGGCTGGTGAGTTTGAACAGCCAACCTTGTGGTTCAAACTGACCTTGCAATCCAATGCATTATCCTGCAGCGTAACACCAGGATTAACTCCAAGGAAATTCCACCTGTTCCTGATAGTTCCTCTACTCTAACTGCTCTGTGTTCCATTTGTTGTTGTTGTTAAGTGCTGTCAAGTCGGTTTCGACCCATAGCGACCCTGAATAGGGTTTCTGAGGGTGTAAATCTTTATGGGAGCAGATCACCTCATCTTTCTCCCGCGGAGCAGCTGGTAGTTTCAAACTGCTGACCTTCCGGTTCGCAGACCGATTCGTAACCACTACGCTACCATTTATTCAGCCATTAATTACATTCTCAATGCAAAGAAACACAAGGCTCTTTCTTTCTTTCTTTTCAACTTTGAGCCTCCAAGAGCTTTCAAAATGGATGTTACAGTTTATAAAAGAGTTTAATGAAAAATTTTAAACTATTAAGTAGGAAGAAAACTGAAGTCAGCCATGAAAATAGCTGGTCTCATAAACCAAAGTGAGCCACTGACACCTAGTTGATTACAACTCATATAAACCTTGCTCCTCAAAGTCTCCATGAATGTAGAACTTTGCAGCAGCAGACATCTTTCTCCTACGTTTGAAATGATGACCTTGCAGTTTAACATCTGCCTGTTCAACCCACTGCACAATGGGACTTCTTTCATACACTGATGGTTGGATTAATTCCTGGTATGCCAAGAATCTTACTCACTACATTTGAGAATCTTTTCTCAATTATATCCAAAGTATTATGTTATATTCAAAATTATATGCAAAAGGAATGTGAAGAGAAAGTGGTAAAAATGAAGGTTAAAAGGTAAAGAGACCATCTCCTTGTACAGCCTGGCCAAACTGAAGCAAAGCATTTGACCTTGATCCTGAAAGCACCATGCCTCAGAAGGAAAACAAAATGAATAAAACAGTCAAAAACTGAATAAAGTTCTGACCCTGTAGCTCTGCCTATCTGAATTAGGTAAAGTCACTTAACTTCTGCCCAACAAAAATACTTCATCCGTCATCTTCTCTATAACGGGGATGCTGTGAGGAGAAATGACTATAACTCAAAACAACCCCATTCCTGTCAAAGCATTTCCAACTCATAGTGACCATGTTGTTGTTGCTGCTGTTGGTAGGTACCTTCCAGTTGGTGCCAACTCACAGCGGTCCTATGACCAGCATGAGCAAACACTGCCTGGTCCTACGCCATCCTCACAATTGTTTATTTGAGCCCATTGCTGCTGCCACCGTCAATTCCTCTCATTGGAGTCGTCCTCTTTTCCAGGGACCCTCCACTGTACCAAGCATGATGTCTTTTTCTAGGGAGTGGTTCCTCCTGATAAACCATCAAAAGTACGAAGATGAAGTCTCCCCATCCTCACTTCCAAGGAATACTCTGGCTGCACTTCTTCCAGCAGATTTGTTTGTTCTTCTGGCAGACCATGGCTCTTTCAATATTCTTTTCCAACACCGTGATTCAAATGAGTCAATTCTTCTATGGTCTTCCTTATTCACTGTCCAACCTTTACATGAATGTCGTAACTGACAGTATCTTGGCCTGGGTTGGGTATACCTTAGTTCTCAAACTGATATGCTTGCTCTTGAACACTCTAAAGAGATTTTTTGCAACAGATTTGCATATATATATGTAAAATCTTTTTATTCTTGACCACTACTTCCACGAGAGTTGATTGTATACATCATGATTGGCAAAGAAAAGAAGAAAAGTGTCATCGAAAAAGAGGAAGACCCCAAACAAGATGGACTGACACGGTGGCTGGGACAATGGGATCACTCTGACAACCACTGTTGAGAATGGAACAGTGCTGGGCAGTGTTTTGTTCCCATTGGTTGTTGTTGAGACAAATAGAAAGAATGACATCTACACGGAGGAAATGGGACAACTGCTGTTGCAGGGAGGGGGACTGCAATCACTGAGATGAAACCAAGTGGAGGATTAGTTGAGTGTAAAACTGATGATGCTGTCTGTAACCTTCACTCAACTCACAATAAAAGTATTTAAGAAAACAAAACAGAAGTTATAAATAAATATTTTAGATCTAAAAAAAATGCGAAAGTGTCACTGGATGGACTCAAGAACAGAACAAAATGACAGAAGAATCAGGAAACTAAAATACATTGCTGTTATGAAGTGCCATAGAGTTGGTTCTGATTCATAGTGAGACTGTCTAGGGTTTCTGCGGCCATAAATCCTTGTGAGAGTGCAAAGCCTCATCTTCCTCCGACGGAGCGGCTGGTGGGCTCAAACCACTGACCTTGTTTGTGGTCCCCAGTCCTGTGTTTATCCTACAGAGTCACCATACTCCCAAAATGTTGTTGTTGGGGGGGGGGGGGGGGGAAGGGGAAGATGATAACATAAAAATTGAAAACTTACCAAATTTTTAAGACAAGATATAAAACTAAAATTGCAAGAACCCCAATAAACCCAAACATGTAAAACCAAAGAAATCCATACCTTGACATATAATTAAACTGCTAAAAACGAAAGCAAGGATGCAGACCTTGAATCTCAGATACTGCTGGTAGGACTACAAACAGTACAACCACTATGCAAAATTTTCCGTTTTTAAAATAACACTAATCATATATTTGTCATTTCACCAATCAATCCTACTCCTATATATTTACTCAAATGAAATGAAAATCTACTGCATCCCAAACCAGCACATAAATCTTTAAGGCAGCTCTAGTAAAAAACTGGAAACCATTCAAGTATTCCTCAAATGGGGAAGGAGAAATAAACTAGCAAAGGAAGAATTACTGAAATATACAACAAGTAACTCATATACATCTTAAAGGTACTCTTGTTGTTAAGTGCCATGGCAACCCTATACAAGGTTTCCAAGGAGCAGGACCTTAGAGTTCACAGTCCAGTATTTATCCTACAACACCACACCAGGACTCTTTAAAGTTATCATGCTGTGTGACAGTAAATCTAAAAAGGTCAAACTGTATGATTCAATTTACA